CACCATCAAATGTGACCACATACTGGAACGAGACTCACCTCTTCACATATTGCTGGGAATTTCGCCCGCGGTACGGCACCACCAGGTGCATTCAAGCACTTAATATTAGGCCGTAAGTTGGCGCTGCTCAAATCCCTGAGAAATATCCCAGCCAATCCCGAACGTAACTGAATGTGACGAATTATTAGACGTCCAGTGAAGGTGAGTGTGCAAGCCAACCGTGAATAATGGTGGACGCGGAAAGCTAAGAAAAGGGCGAGGCCCAGAAAGCCGGTGATTCTCGGCTTGGTGGACTTATGGTAACGACGGATCTCACGGCCTACCCTAGTCTAGACAGCAGCAACGGAGATGTGGTGGTTTCGAATCATGGACGTTCCGGCCGGCAAGTTATCGACTCAACCATTCAGCTATCTCGGGCTCATTGGTGCTTAGCTGCAATGCAGTCATGAGGGCAGATGCCATGGCACAACGTGCAAGGAAATAATGAGTGATGCTTAATCAAAACGGTCAAGAACACGTCGTCTACAGCTTGGATCTGCAACGAGCTAAACGCATCGGAGCATCATATCGAATTAAGGTGTCAGTGGGATTAACGCAACTTTCGTCACGAACTCCATCCACCATGATTTCGGCACACCACAGTGAGCTAACTTTAGCTAGACGTTCTAACTTGATGTTGACAACATGCTCTTTGCTGCGGACCTTTAAGTGACACGTCGTATAGAGTTTATCGCAGTGTGCAGAAGGTCAGAATAGTCCATAGCACTCAGGTTGAGAGTGGCTACCTTCATTTCACGTGGCTACAACCTGACCAACACACACTGTTTGCTCCTCGATGTGAGATATCGTATCATTTCCTTCGTGTGGTTCAATTCAATCGGAGTCTGTTGGACGTCAGCTGAAGCATAGCCTGTGTGTGGATAGAAAAATCTAGTGCATTCAGAAGTCCCTTAAAATAAGGATTGCAACTGGGAATATGTGAAAAGTTTTCCGGGACTCGAAAAGCCAGTTGTTATTGAAGTCATCAAAGGTAATACTGAGATCTCACCGTGGCGTAGGGCCTCGTGGGTTCCACTCAGCATAATTAAAAAACGGTGGTTACTGGTCATGCTTCGTATTGATGGAATCGTTTAAACTAATTCTGGAATACGACTTAGTTTAATTCTGGAATACGACCCCGACCTAAAGCTGCCACCTTGATGTGGTGGTCGGGCTTGAGTGCTGCAATGATCCCGCGGGCTACACTGGCTGGAACTTCGTTCCACAAGGTACAACCATGCCAGGAAGGCCAAAGGGGAGCAGCCAAACCAAGAGCAGCGAGACCCCGCACTACCAGCAATCGTGGTACGGGGCGGTCTGGGGGTAAAGTCGTACTGTCCTCTGCGACAGGACTGTGAAGGCAGTACGGTGTTTCCCCCAGGCGACCAGCATGTCCATATTTATGGAAGCAGCGATGCTGCCTTCCCCCGAGGAAGGACGGGTTAGAAAAGGTCGGCTCCAAAAACCGCACACTTCGATCGCCCAAAGGTTGACCGTGACCGCCGGCGCATTATCCAATACGGTCGAGATACTTTTAAAGCCCAAGATCCCGGTGCTGCTCAAAAGGCACTTGCTCTGTGCAGCCGCATCAGGAATGAGACAGTAATG